GTTAGGAGGCGCGTTTCCAGAAGGCTCTGGTTAAGTGAGGCAAGCAGTAGTGGGGATATATATTTGAAGTACTCTTTATAGAATTCATATGGAATGCCATCTGGGCCTAGCAATTCCAATTTGGTGCACTGCGGATGGCTGTCCATAGTTCATTTGAAGTAATCAAATTCATTATTTCCAGGTGTCGGAAATTGTGTGGATGTGGGTTTGGTCAAAAAAATTCTGCCACTTCGGCCAGCTGAATTGGATCAGATCGGTAAACTTGGAGTAATACTTTTAGAATTTGATATCCACTACAGCTGGCGTATCCGCAACAGAATCATCTGATCTTGACACCTGTGTGCAGGCCACACTCTGGCATGGTGTAAAATTTTTTTAAAAAAATATGCGGTGCACTTGTTGCCCTCTGTAATGCGTTTGGCCCTGTACTAAACACAAACTTGATGTTTGTGTTGCCTTTTGAGCACATTGAGGTGGGCGGCTGCTTCCACCCACTTCTGGCCCCATGCAGGGCTGTAGCCTGTAGCTGGGATGTTGGATCCAGGTGTGCCAACTCTGCCAGAGCGCACAAAATGATGGCTGATGTGGCTCATGAGCGCTGGGAGGAGAGGTGGCAATAGTGGCGGATGGTATCCTCTTTAAAGGTTGACCATGTAAAGTTGGGGTCCGCATAAAATGGTGTAACAAACTCTTTTGCCAAAGTTGCTGATTCCACCAAAGTGGAAAATCCTGGCAACGCAAGTTCAGGAGGGCAGATTTTTCACCAATGTGGGGCCTTGGACACTGTGACAGGTAGGTGGTAGGTTATCGAGACCAGTAGGTGGTCAGAGAGTTCAATTTTTAATTGTTTTGAAGTGGGAAATGTGGGGTTGGAATTTTGCTGGCTTAAGGATAAGGTCGATGTGGGTCATGGACCTTAATTGGCCGTTGTGCATGTGGGGGCGCGTCATGATTCAAGCAGTGGGGCTTGCCGTGGCAGTGCATCCATTAACCCAAGGGTGGCCTTTAGAACGCAAAGTTCTACGTGACCCTGGGGGGTGTAAGAGGAGGAAGGCCAACGGTCCGTGGGTGTGTTTATCCAACAGTTCATGTTGGCAACTACAAAAGATCTGGGGATAACAGGAGGGATTTGACTGACGAGAAAAAGCCTGACGCTCTTGTGCACAAATTGGGGCATAGATGTTGATGATAACATGTGACACGTCAGCCCACGAGAAAGTGACAACAAGGACTTAGCCATTGAGGAAGGATTCCGACAATAAAAATTTAAAAAAACTGTTTTTCCAAACTAGCACCCCACAGTGCTCTGACCAAAAGGATAGGGATGGGAGGAGCATGGTTTTTCAAGCATACTCGGAACCTCATGGACGGTGGGACTCCTTGATGGCCAGGATATCCATGGGTAATTTTTTTGTAAAAAAAATCAGTTTCCTAGCCCAGGATGGCGAGGCCTTGAGTCCAGTGATATTCAACGTCCCTAAAGTAAAGGTTTTCCCATCGCACCTTAGGTGCAAGGGGTGGGCACCTGGGCCCATTAACCTCCTCTAGATCCCCATGGGCCTTCATGGCAGCGTGGATGTTTGCAGCAATGCTGTCAGTAGTTTTGTTAATTTTAGCAGAAAGGTTCGCGTTGGCTTTTGCCTTTGCTTTTTGTTTCCCCATCGTCAAATGAATTTTTTGCGGTGCGGATGAGTTTGGTGCACCAACAATTGGGTCAAAAAAATTTTCAGGTAGGTTGGACCCCAAGTCAGTTTCAACTGGACTTGGATGTAAAGATCAGGTGAGATCGAGTCACCCATCGGATCCTCAGATTGGGTGGCCCAATCAGCATGGGCTTCCCAATCTAATTAGTTGAGGGATTCCTGAGTTGCTTCCACTGCAAAGGTTTCGATGTCCTCCTGGCATTGGGAGTGTGGGATAGCGGTGGTGGCTTTGGCCGCTTCCTTTGCCGTGGCCCTGTGGGCCTGCTTGTCCTTCTTCCACTCTTGTGGGGAGATAGGCTTTACCAGTAGGTAGCAGCCTTGTGCTCCCCACGAAAAAACTCTTTGATGCTTGCAGTTGGTTCGTAGTGCGCCTCTCCGCTGGCCATGGCCACTGAGGGGCGCTCTTGGAATGTGATGCCCTCCTTGGTGGGGCATGCATGTGCCTTATGGCCAAATGCATCACAGTAGGTCAGATGGGGGGCGCACTATCCATGGTTACCTGGAAAGGGTTGGTGGTATGCCCTTCAATATTGATAAATGTGGAGTGCGGGATCTGGGTTAGGTCCTTTGCAATCTCCTCAGTTGGGTCAGAACTGCAATAGCTTTGCCAGTGCACAGGTGTGGCATCAGCGTAAAGCGTTGCATTTTGAAAGATTGTATTTTGCCATATATGGTGAGACCATCTTTCAGGTGCTGCTCCAAAATGGCATGTTTCACTGTAGTAGGCAAAAAGTCAAACGTGAGGAAAATTTGTTTGGATTTTATCCATCTGGTGCATTTGGTTTTGATGACCCATTGCCCTTAGGGAGGTTGATCACTAGACGCACTGCAGCAATTTTGTCTGCTGCCTCCTTGGTTTTGAAGCCGAGGTCCAGCCAACCACATGACATGGAGTGAGGTGCAACGTACACCATGGTCAGGAAAAAAGTGTACACATCCTCCCAAAATTTCCCATAGAGCTGTTTGTTGGATATCCAGAAACACACGGACTCCATATATTACTGATGAGTGGTTGAGAGTGCGGCGTGTTGTTGTACTGGTTACATCGCGCCTGCCAAGCGAGGATTTCTGGGGAAATAGTAACTGCCAGTTTTTTATTTTTATCTAATCCGCCAGTTTCTCTGGGGGCGTTTTTGAACGTTGGAGGTCACGGGCCTACCACCTGTGCCTCTTACCTTACTTGCCCAACTGCTCCATGACATGGGCGCAGACTAATCTCCTCTGTGAGATTATCAAACTAGAATCAGACTTGAATTGAATAAGTTGCAAAAGTGATTGCAACGAGAGAGAAAAGTGAAAAACATATTGCTTCTAAATGATTTATATATATATAACTTAGTGAGGCTATACTCTATAAGGTCACATAAATCTTTCTTGCTCCCATGCATTAAAATTTATTATAAAACATAATTATTGTTGTTAGTGTACACAATCTTAATTACTTCCCTTTATCAATATGTAAAGGGGGTGTGGCATAGTTGGGATGGGCGTCCCACTATCGCCCCTCACATCTTGGGTTCCAATCCCATCATGGCAGAAATTGTATTTCTACGCCAAGAGAATATCAATACATGTGGATTTGCACACCATGCCTCAGTCTGACCAAGCGAATTAGTTATGTTAGATCATATAATTCCAGCCTATAAGAACAAGCCAGGAAGGTTTTAATCCCAGTACTTGGGTCTTGTCCTCCATTCTTATATATTTTCTCTCTACTCCCTATCCCATTTATTGGTGCAGTATATTTGTCCCAAGGTTGGCCCACCTCAATAAAGTATATAAGCGGGTAAGCTTAGAAAATCTTTAAGTACATTGTTTTTAACATAAATTACTCATGCTGAGAGGTGATAAGCCATACTTTGCTGCCTCTGAATTCAAATAAAGTATCACCCAAATACATTGCTTCTCTTGTCAACCATTATATCTTGTTAAAATATTAAGAGCATAACATCGATGAATCCCCCTTTGGGTTGGGACCATCTAGTACTAAAAAAATATGAAGAGCATAATACTTAACGCAAATTTTTGTCTAGACAATAATACTACCCTAAGCCTTTATTGTCTTCCTAGCTACAGGCCTCATTTACTTTTACTAACTGCCATAGCTAATTTATTATAATATCAGGGACTTCCAGATATCCTGTGCAATGAAAGAATCTTAGACTACTTTAGGTATTAACATGGAGGACTTTGCAAGTGTTCCTTTAAGTAAACCTACTCTCTGGTATCTTAGTAGAATATATTTCAATTATTTTATTAGAATCTTTTATAATATCTTCTAGCATTTATTATAGGGCTTAGAGACAATATCAATGCTGGGAAGTTAAAAATTTGTATCTGATTAAGTGTCACCTACTTTTTTTAGTTAGTAGTCTAATATATATTACTAAAATATACTAGCTACTTGTCAACTCTTTTTAAGTACTTCAATTTTCTTTAAATTAAAGCTAAAAACTCTAGAGAGAGTATGATGCTTGTCTATAGAAATTCTAATTGACTTTTAATATAAATTAGTACTTTGTGTTGGACAATTACAAGTCTGATTTATAAAAAGAGTGGCTCAGAAGTGAATGATGAAAAAAAGTGGCCAAAAGATACTGATTGATTATAAGTGGAACCCTGTGAATTGGGGTAACACTTATATTAATAAAACTTATATGAAAATATTAGTTTGTGCAGTCAGATTGCACTGAACATGCGGCAGAATCAAAAGAGCCATTCTGAGGTCTTTCTCTGCCTTACAACAAAACTAGTTAAACTCCCACCATGGAGAACTGTCTCTCTTATAGGGTTGAGAGATCCTTGCAATATGCATGAAATTTCCCATCAAATGATTGGGTAAAATATATCAAAACCCTACCTCATGGATCTAAACTTCCTGTCATCACCCTCCAATGTCTGATTCTTGAAGTAAGGCAAGCTTTGAACAATCTTATTGGTCCACTACCCATATTACCTAATTTGGAATCTACTAGGCAATCCAAACTTTGAGCCTAAACACTTTAAATACTGAGTATTGACTTATTAAGGGGTTCATTTCTTACCCCCTGCAGCAACTAATAAAAATATAAAAAACACAACTCTTTAGTTTTTAATGTTTATTTATCTTTATTATCATCAGTAATTTCAATCCTCTATTTATTTGAGTTTAGGCCTAAAAAGCTCTCGTGAGCTTAGTAAAACCCTAAAATTCAACACCTTCTACTACATGAGATGTGCGTTCAATTTTCATATTTCACTTCTGAAAGCATTTTAGTACTAAATTTTCATAAAGTGAGGAAGAGAGAGTCATCAATGCAAAGAATTGGGCTCACTGGGAATCGGACCTAGGACCTCTCCCACCCTAAGGAAGAGTTATACCATTAAACCATTTTTTTTTCAAAACTCCATACTTTATTTTAAAATAAATTTCAAGGGAAAGTAAGAGAGGAGGGCGGAATACAGGCGATTTGTCCAAGGGTAAAAAGGACTAGGGGTTTGGGCTGTTAGAGTTCTAGCTCCTCTGACCATTGCTGATTGGTGATCGCCATCACTAGCCACAGTTCTAGCATTGGTGGGTTTACAAGTCATTCGATTCTCAGTTAATTAGTTGCCTCATCACATACAATAAGCAATCCGGTAGGGAAAGCCAAATGTGCAGCTTTATATCACCCAGGGATTAGGCGCAAAAAATTTGAGATCTGACAGAGCTGATTGGAAATAATCTGAATGGTCTTCAATACCAAACCTTTGTGGTGGGGGCGCTTGTTGCTCAAAATCTTGGCAACAAGTGCACAGTGAATTACCCATACACAAGAATGGTAAATGAAGGCTTGTAGTTGGATCAGAGCCATTCTCAAGGTTTTTGTGAAAAAAAATCCTGCGATGGATGTATTACTGGAGGCGATTGTTTGCCTGATAGGATGTGTTACATTGTGGACAAATTTTTTTAACACAATACATTCATAATAATGGTGGGCGATGTCTGCTTCTGGTTCAGCGCATATGGGGCATTCTTTGTGCTAGTAGTCTGGCCCACTGTGCTTTCCCAATTTGAATGGCCAGTTTAGGATCTGCCAGGTTACCGAATGTTCTATGGCCATTACCAAATGGGAGTTAAGCCCAAAATAACTCCTTTGTTGTATAGTTGGTGTCATGGCCTTCGATAGTCCAGTCATTTAGGATTTGTTGACAGGTGGGCAGATTGCATCCCAGTTTTAAGAGCAGAACCCATATTCTATCAGCATCGATTTGTACCTTATTTTGATCAACTTGGTTGCATATTCATTGGTGATTTGGTTATGCTCCTCTCAGCTCATTGCATAAATCATTGCGGAATTATGGGCTTTGACGTCCCTTTGAAGTTTTGGTCAGCATCTCAGCCAATTGCTCAAATGACCATCCACTCTAGCACATGGCCCAATTTCATAGTCACCAGTAGTGTGGAGTACCCTTTTGGGAGGTTATCCGCAGGTGGTGCGCCATCCATTCACATATTGAGCGGTGAGAAACTAGTTCTTGAAGGCCTTGGCTCATGCCCAGTTCACGCCCCACGCTAGGGTCGGGCAGCACATGTGCATCTGTGTTAGCTTAAGGAATGACTTCCCACATATATGCCAGGCGTGAGATTCGAAGTCCAGGAAGCCCATGCCTCCTTCATTCTATGGTTTTGACAGGGCTTCAAGCGGTATCAGCGCCACCTTCGCCTTGAACCACAGGAAGGTTCAAAGCATTGTCCTGATTTTCTTCTCTAGGTTTGGGCTCATTGGCAGCACATGAGCGACATACCACAACTTTGAAAAGATGAAGATGTTGATTGCCTGCACTTTCTCCTCAAGGCATAGTCTGGCGCTCTTCCAGCATGCCATTTGGACCAATAAGCTTGACAATACTTCCTGTTCAGTCTCCAGTACCGCTAGTCCCTTATCATTGAATAGTATCCCAAGGTAATGGATTGTCTGGGAGTTCATGATTGGCGTTGTGTCAATCAGCGGGTGCTGAAGTTTAAGTTGCAGACCCTTATCACTGAGGTTTTTCCAAGTTGATTTTTGCGTTTGAGGCTATCTGGTAGAGGTTTAATATTTCCTCGGCGCCCTGGAGGTCAGTCAGTGAGCTTATTCCTACTACCATGTCATCAGCAAATGCTAGCATCTTCAGTGGCATTTGATTGGGGTGAACTAGGCCCCAGAGTTTCGCGTCTGCTGCCACCAGCAGAATGTTGGCTGCAAAATTAAAGAGTATTGGTGAAATAGGGTCACCTTGTTGGAGACCATGCCCAACTGGGATTTTGTTGGTTACACCATCTACGACAATCAACTTCATTACCAGGCCTAAGTCCAGCATCAATATACATGATCAAATGTGTTGGGGATACCAACTGCCTTTAGCGCCTCATGTAGGAATGACCACGCTAATCAGTTGTATGCCTTTTCCATGTCAAGGAACATAAGGTACCCCTGCTCAATACCCCTCACATCCTGGAGTATGCTCTGGACTGAACCAACGCTGTCCCATATACTACAGCCTTTAACGAAGACATTATGGGATTATGGAGCATGAGCGCTGCTGTTGCCATCAGCTGATTAGATAGTATGTGCGCGAGCAGTTTATAATCTGTGTTTAATAGTGCAATCAGGCGTCAGTTCTGAAGTTAGCATTGGAGGCCTTTTTATACAAGAATACGATTCAGGTCTCTTGGCCTCCCAGAATTTTCTGGCCATTTTGTAAACAGTGGTTAAAAAGGACTTTGAGCTCCGGTGCAATGCAGTTGTGGAATGTGCTGTATATTTTTGCGCATATATTGTCAGGAACTGGTGCTTTCATTCTTAGCGACTCCTTTAGCGCCCTCATAACTTCATTGATAGAGATTTCAGCGGATAATTTGGCGACATCTTCTGGCGTACAGCCCCCCAGTGCCAGCTTGACCAGGTCAATAAGGGTTTTTGTCTCCAATTCGCTCATATCTCATTGTAGGAAAGGATCGTTAAAGAAAGGCTTGACCTCATGCTTGATCATTTCTTGATCTGTTGATAAACCCCATTCTTCTGTCTCCTCTTCCCGTACCCTAGCCTTGGTTCAAATTTCCTTGAGGTGCCTCATGCCCTCTTTGGTCATCCTCCCCAGTAGGCTCTAATATCAGTAAGTCACATTGGTCCATCTCTCCAAGTCTAGCTTCATCATTATGGCCCAATACTTTTTTTGCGTTATTTGGTACTCGCTCCAGCAGTCCTCGCTGTCCCACTGGTTGAGTATCAGATTTTTAAATTTAGACTTCAGCTGCTTCGCGGCGGCAGTTCACTTATAGGAGGTCATTTTTTTGAACTTCATACTATCATGCTTCAGTTTTGCTTCGATATGAGTCCATCTTTTTAGTGGGTCCAACTTCAGGTAGCTGTCCAGATATGCTACTAGTCAGTCCAGTCCAGCATCAATCTTTCAGCACCATTCCCCGTACCTCAGCATGGTTGGTGCCAGTTGCCATCTGCGGTTTCTTAGGGTTCATCAAGATCAATATCCATGCAGATGACCATGTGGTCACTTTTGGCATTTATGCTAACCTCGCTGTTGGACATCATTGGCTTGAGATCCAATGAAACTATGATTTAGTCTAAATGTGATCCAGACTGTGGGGATCCAGCGGCGTCATATGACCATCACACTAAGTTGGCCAGGTTTTCATCCTCTTTGACAAACATTAGGCACAAACCAATTTGACTAGGTAATCCAGCATCTCGTTGGCCTTTCTGTTGGGATGTTCAATTGTTGGAAACTTATCCCAGCTCGCATTTTTCCAACAGTTCAGGTCTTCTGGTATTATGATCATCACTTTGGATGGCACCTCCACTAAAAATTCCCAAAAAATATGGTTTTTGTGGAGCTTCAGTGGGGTGTAGACTGCTACTACTCATATGCTCATGCCAGTTTCTCTGTTTGTAGACTTTTGCTATCAAGATCCTTCTGGCGTGAGTTTCCTCCAAAAATTCCAGGTCTATTTTCTTGTCTATTGCGACGATCGCCACATGGTCCATCCAGAGGGCTTGGTACCTATTTGGTGGGACCACAGGTGGTTCTTTGCGTCATGGGTTGAGCTCGGCACCATTTCCTTTTTGGTTACCAGCTTGCATTTCTGAAATAAAAATTAGGCCAATATTATTATTAGTTTATAAATGGTGCATCTTCCTCCTACTCATTTGTATGATCGCCATCCCCTGAGCATTTGTGGTCGCTATCCTCATTTCTGGCTGCCCAACCCATGGAAATGAGGATTAGCGTTGTCTGGGTTGTGGATCAAGTCACATACTAAGGTTTGTTTGGTAGCTGAAGATGGCGTCAATGGTTAGTGGGGTGTATTACTCAGTTTTCAGGGTCAGTTGGTCAGGACTGGGATTATATTCCCGGGCATCCTGTGTACTGGTAATTTGGTCACCATCCCCATCTCCATAACAATGGATAATGGGGATGGTTTTATGATCAGGTCCAGGTGCCCCTTGTCTCCTACTGGCGGAGCGGTGGATTCCCTCTCATCCATCATTCAGATTCTCACCCCTTCGTTTGATTTGTTGGCAGAACTCAATTTTTTAGTTGGTGATTGTCCGGCCAACTTTGCCAATTTCATCCCATTTACTGATTTTTTGTCCGTCTCCTTAGGTTTGTTTGTCAATGACTTCCAATTCAATTTAGTATTCACTTTTGGCTTGTCAGGCTTCAATTTCGATTTGTTGGCTTCCCACATCTGTCCCTTCTTGGGGACAACTTCAGGTTCGCATTCTGTCATCTTTTCTCCTCGCGGATCATCCATTCTACTTTGGTTGGAAGTGGCTCCATTGGTACAGGATCCATTCCTTCATCCATTGCATACAATTTGGGGTTTGGATTTATAAACAGCTCGTCATCTGCTTTGGGTCGCTTGGCCACTTCTCGCTTCCATGCTTCCCCATGTGCCAGGTCCAATTCTTGTTGTTGGCATTTCATGTCCACTACCTCCGTTAGGTTTCATGGGATCCATTTTCTGGCTTTTGGGCGTAGAAAAGTCTTGGTACTGACCTTAGTGATCCCCCCAACAGGGTCATATTTTTACTCCTGAGTAGTTATAATCTTACAGTGATGGCATTGAGCCATTGTGTTGCCAGTCTGGTAACAGAACCTGAACTTGTTTGGCATCTTATTGTTTGACATATACTACCCTGTCTAGGCCAGGCAGGCGGATGAATTGGCGTAGGGCTATTTTGTTTGGATTCATCCAGGGTGCCAGTTCATAAAGAGCTTCCACTACCAGGGGCGGAGGCACTTCACAACTAATTGCCACCAGATTGCCGAAATTATCATACTTCCCCATAGTACAATAATCCAGTCCAAATCGCTTTGTGCACCCACTCCCATTTGCAATTGGTTGGGAGAT